CCAGCTGAATGGAAATGAATAAAATGATTGTATTGATCTTGCTTATTATCCATCCATCATTCATTCATACTAATATTTTGGTAGATCTCTCTGGAGAGCTTGAAGCCAGTAATCTGTGCAATTTGGCTGATCAAATTACGAGTGGCCTAAAACAATCCCCTTGGTCTCTTTCCAACCCCCACACCACCATTTGCCTCTTTTCTCTTTTCTCTTTCTTTTCTTCACCGCTGCCCCCACCTGCCCACAACATCAAAGATAATTAGATAAATTTGGTCTGACCTATGAATCCAAGCTATTCCTCCAACCAGAACTTGAGGTTGAGACTGATAGGTTTTCCACTCCACAAACCTTCTTGTGCAACAACAATCTCCCATCTGGATGTAATGTGTACAATTGCAGTTCACCAAACTTCCCTTTCCCTTCTTGTGAAAGGAATATCTTGTACCCTTTGTCAAAAGGAAAGACGAGACACCGGTTTCATAAACATCCAACAAACCTGTTTCCACGTTCATGTCACGTTTGCCCAATAACACCTTCTGTATCAACCTCGACAAACCACAAATTACAGCCAGAGTCAAAAAAATCACAATTTGAAGACAAACATAACTGATGTGCAAGCTGGATCAGTTCACCTCAACCAAGGCTTAAGGGAAGAGGTCCTTCAGGGGATGGTTTCTATCCTGCTGCAGGAACCAGTGAAACGGGGCACAATATGATCTTAAATTTGGCTGGTATAGCTTTGTAGCTGGGCTCTAAAATGACCAGTATGTTCTAGTCTGAGCATTGACACTTTCTTTCCAATGTGTGCAGCCAAGGATTCCTGGGAGCGAGCTGGAGTCCAAACTAGGAACCGCACTGGAGGCCTGTAACCTTCACCACACCCCACCCCCAACACCTTCCATATAACAGCCATCAGTAGCTGGTCACACTGACCAGTTCATTCCTCCTCAGTCAGAGTTACACATGCTGCTCATCCAAGGGACCTTGATAAACACCCATCTTAGATCAACAAGGAGTCAATCCACACTGCACGGATCTTTTCCCAGGAGCAATCAATAGCTGCTCTAATGTGGCTTCCCTGTGTTTACTTTCTTTCCCTCTCCCAGCACTCAGTCCCAACACCCCTACCCTGCCCCTTTCCCTAATCCCCCACAACTTGCAGTAAACTTCAAGCCTGCCAGCCCGGAGCTGGGGAAATTCAGATCAAACATTCACAGCAGCCGCGTGCTAGGGAGTCAGCTCAAGAAATTTGCTTGAACTATGTTGGATTATAACAGATGCACTCAATAACACCTACAGCAGGATAATAGTGACCTAGGAATTACGTAACACATGCTTACATGCTTCCATTTGATATATGTTTGCAGCTAAAGCTCGCATTTACTGTCACAGGTTTGTACACGATGCTGCTACCTTGGTCCTTTTGATCTTTGCACGTGCTGAAGGCTTTCCTGATGTAGGTCGATTTGACCCAGTGATGTTGAAGGAGCAGTGACTTCTGTTCAACTTGGGAAAAGTGTGACTTCGGGAGGAAACCTGGAGATGCTGACTTTCCTGTACAGCTGCTTCCTTTATCTTTCGAGGTGTCAGAGATCATGGGTTAGGGAGGGGGCTATCAGAGACATCCTGGGGATTGTTTCAGGGAGTTTTGTAGCGAGTACACACTGCAGCCTTCACGGAGGGTGTGGGTCTTTAAGGCACTGAACATATTTGTTCCACCGCGTAAAGTGTTTTATTTTAAACAATCTTAAGTGTTGACTATACAATCCCTATAGTGCAGGAAAAGGCCATTCAGCCCATTTAGTTTGCATTGATCCTCTGAACAGCATCCTGCTCAGATTCACCCCATCCTCTTCACCCTGTGTTTCCCATAGCCAATCCACCTAAACTGCATGTCTTTGGACTGTGGGAGGAAACCCACACAGACACGGGGAGAATGTGCAAACTCCACACAGACAGTCGCCCGTGACTGGAATTGACCCCAGGTCCCTGGCACTATGAGGCAGTAGTGCGAACCATTAAGATACCATGCCATCCGAAAGTAACAAAAACAGGAACACACTGTTGCATACAATTAGAGTCATTGACTTATTCCTTACGGAAATAGACCCTTCGGCCCTACCTGTCCATGCTGACCAGGTTTCCAAAACTGAACTAGTCCTGCTTGCCTGCATTTGGCCCATATCCCTCTAAACCATTCCTTTCCATGTAAATCTCCAAATGTCTTTTAAATGTTGTAATTCCACCTGCCTCTACCACTTCCTCTGGCAGCTCATTCCATTCACACACCATCCTCCGTGTGAGAAACTTGTCCCTTTTAAATCTTTCCCCTCTCACCTCAAACCTATACCCTCTAGTTTTAGACTCCCCTACCCTGTCCCAGCATGCTTTTTATATATTGTCAATCTTGAGTGTGCCAATGGCGAGGCTACATTTAGTGCTCAGCAACTGTTACACTTCAGGAGGTGGTGATGAGCTGGTTATTACAGTCCACCTGGTGTTGGAGAGACCAGAATGATGCTGCTAATGCTGCTGAGGAGGGGGTTCTGGGATTTTGCTTCAGATACACTGATATTGTTACAAGTTATGGTAGTGATAGGTTTACATGGATCTACTTGCATGCTGTTGGGGCTGCATTGAGCCAGAAAATTGTAAGGTATTCCATCACGCTTCCTAACTTTGGTTTTAGATGGTGGACAGGCTTTGGAAAGTCAGGAGTAGAGCAATTAGCAACAAATTCCCAAACTCGAACTTGTTCTTATAGCCATGAGCATTCATAAGGTTTGACCTCTGACCATGGTTTATGTATAATATTCAAACTTGTAAGTCAATCCAATAAGAAAGGACGAGACTGCAACCTGGTATTTGAAGCAGATATTGAGTAAAAGTAACTTGCTTCCATCAATCTATACGTCAAGGCTGTGATCATACCCTAACATTGAGTGGGGATCTTCAATTCCCAAAGCCTCACAGGCCACCAATCCATGGGAGGCTGTTCAATTCAACACAGTTGCTGAACCGTACGTTCTACAGAATGCAATGTAAACAGGACCAGAAACTCTCCACTTGGAAACATGCTGGAGTTAAGCTCTAGATCTACTTCAAACAATTAAAAACTGAACATGGGAGATAGAAATGTTCAATGTTTCCAGCAGCAACTGAGACATAGAGGCCTGAGGCCTAGAATGGAGAAGAGGCACTCAGCACATTCAGTGCTTTGGTTTTCAAACTAGGCTTCCTGATGCCAAAGGTCAAGGAGATCACAGCAGATTCAGAATGGATCCACAAAGTACATCAGTTGCCTGTATTAGATGATCCAAAAGCACATTATTTCTGTTGCTGCATAACAATAGGAAAATGTTTACTGTCAACAAAATCTTGCCATTTTTCAATGGGTTCCAACACTGACATTCAAAAGGTACAAAGACAAATCTCTCAGCGTAACAAACTGACAGAATTCTGCAAATCTGTGATGAGCGTGTCTTAATGCATAATCTCAGAGACAAAAGTGAAGTTTTAGAGTATATTTTGTTCTCATTTTTACGTAGGAATACTTATAGAATTTGCTCTTGTGCAGGAGGTCAAAGGTCAATCAGCAATTCCATCTTTGACCAGTTGTCAATTCTGATCGGTTTCTGGATCCAATTCCCATCCTGCACTGATTGGACATGGCAGCTGATCAATTGATTAACAAAAGCGATTGGACATCACTGATGATGTCATTTACTGCTTCATAAAATGAGAGTCTGCTCCTGGAGTATAAATGGAGTTGAAAGGTAGTGATGTTTTGTTTATAGTTGGTGCTACTTATAAGTTTTTGATTGTTGTAGGGAGGAGAGCAATTTTATTGTCACAAGATGGCCTCTCAGATTTGTCAGAACTATCACCAGGATTGTGAAGCTGCTGTCAACAAACAGATTAATGTAGAGCTCACTGCCTCCTATCTCTATCAGTCTTTGGTGAGTGTGTTTCTGTGGAGTTCAAATTAAATCTATTATGCTGAAATGAACTGTTTCTTGTTTCTTGACATTTTTGTGGATTTGATGACTTTTCTTATGTTCTTGCATAAAAATTGTTGGGATAAATGTAATGCTATTAGTATCAATGGAGTTTTGATACTGATGTATAACAACTAATTCCCCAGTGGCCTCAAGTGATAGATGGAGGGTGAAGTGTTCTGAATTACTTCATAATTCACTTACAGGCCTCTGCCTGGCAGTAACTGTCACTTCCCTCCCTAAAGTTCTGGGAATTCTACTTCTGACTTTAGTGAAGGAGTTGGGAGTTTCAAGCACCCATTGGATAGTTCTTGTTGCCTTTGTGATATTTTAAGGTATCTTGATTCTACTTGCTTGGCTTTCTGCTGATCTTGAGCAAACATCATGCCAGTCTCCATACTGCAATGGGGAGCTATGGCAGTGACTGGCTTCTCTGAGCATATTTATTTACATGGTGAGGCATTGACTGGCATTAAGTAGGCCTCAGTTGTGGATTACTTAGCTTTTTGCCTTCACCATTCATGAATGGATTGTAGGTGGTCATGATGCCATTAGTTGTCCAGACACTCAGATCAACTCTCACCCTGTGACCTGTTGGTGTATGCACAGGGTGGCTGGAATGTCCTGAGATTGTTTAACCCAATGAAGGTGAAATGGAATTTTAAATCAGAATGGTATGAGGAAACAAAATTGCCCCTTTCTCTAGGTAGTTTAGCTTTTTCAAACTAAAAAATCCTACCACTTGAAGTACCCTTGCAGGTTGTTGGGTACCTGGTAGGTAGTGGACACTGCAGGGAGATGGTAAATACAGTAGCAATGAAGTGGGTTGCTTTGTCCTGGGTGGTGTGCTGCTTGCATGTTGAATTTCCACTTCAGATGTGTGGAGAATATTCATCACCCTCTGGGCTTGGGTTTCATGGAAGGAAATTGTCTCATAACATGAGAATGAAATCTGTATACCCTCCATTTTGGGAGGTGGGAACAGCTTTCATTGGTGAACCAGTTGGGTTTTAATCACTGACCAGTGTCCCAACTCAATTGGGAAGCATATGTGTGATTAATAAAATCCCCACTATTTTATACCTGCCACAACACAACTACCCAAGTAAACTAGCAAGATAAATTTGCATAACTGCTCTTTTATGACAAAGCAACTTCTCACCAAGCTTCTTTTTGAGAACATCATAATTGTTCTAAAAGAATAGACTAATCAATTCCAACTAGGAGTGAGTTGTACCCCTTCTTAAACCCAACATGTTCCCTTGTGAACGTGACGGTTCACAGGTTTGAGTCAAATATGGAAGGAAATCCTAATGTCAAAGGATGTTTTTTTATTTTTTTGAATCTAGTGATATTGGAACAATGCTTCATCTTTGGGTCACATGAAGTTTGTCTTGGATTTGACTGTTGCTCAGTTTCAAGTTTTACTCAGATATAAGTTTCTCAGCTTCTAGATGTGAGCTGTGTATGCAGTGCAGTAACACTGCAACAATCCAAAGGCTGTCATTAGGCAGATTTTCCTTTGACTCCTGATGCCACATTCTCTCATGCTCTTCCATAGTCCAGATAGCTGTCCAAATGTGCAACTAACATATATGGTACATCCAATCCCACAGATCTGCAAGTTGCAGGAAGTGCTGTCTTCTGGTTATACTAGTTACAGCAGTCTTCAGCTGTTTTTCAGTTTTTCAAAGAAAAAAATTGCAGCTCCCCTACCCAACTACATCTGGCACTCCAGCTCCTGGCATTGCTTAAACCTTGTTCATAGAATCCTAACAGTGTGGAAACAGGCCCTTTGACCCACCAAGTCCACACTGACCCAGTTTTTCCCCCAAGCTACAATGCTATGGGCAATTTAGCACAGCCAATCCACCTAGCATCCACATCTTTGGACTCTGGGAGGAAACCAGAGCACCTGTGGGAAACCAACGCAGACATTTGGAGCATGTGCAAACTCTAGGCAGACAGTCACCCAATGGTGGAATTGAACCAGGATCCCTGGCAATGTGGCAGCAGTGCTAGCCACTGTGCTGCCCTTTTCAATCACTAACTTCATCTGATTCTGAAGGAGCTTACCAGGTGGAAACACGAAATCAGCTTTTCTCTCTACAGACATGAATAGACCTGCTGAACAATTCACCACTGGTTTAAAGCAACATAAGATGCATGGTATATGCAGCTTACCAGGAAGAAGCTGGTGGTGTTCTTCTAGGTTCTTGAACTAGAGCAGCTGGCTCGTTGAACAATATGCAGTTCTCAACAAATTTAATATACAAGATGTTTAACAGCTTATTGAATTCTCCTTTTGATTGAAAAGGCTAAACTAGTCCTCTCATTTTGAGAATGGCCCCAATTATCAAGCATGTATTAATGCAATTGTAAATGTTCTCTTCCAGATGGTGTACTTTGACCGGCATGATGTTGCCCTCCCCCATTTCTCCCAGTTCTTCAAAGATCAGTCCCAGGAGAAGCAGGAACATGCAGAGAAGCTGCTGAAATTCCAGAATCGGCGTGGAGGCAGAGTCCTCCTCCAGGATGTGAAGGTTGGAGTTGGGGTGGGTGGAGGGGGTGGGATGGTAATGGCTGCTCTTGTGGTGTGGCTTCAAGTCAGTGACAAGGTTTTCATTTCCCACAGGAGAGTCTCAACTTCATTCAGCCTGGCTTTCCTGTTTGATCTCCTTCTTTGAAGCCAGTATAGAAAGAAGCCTTTTGGCCCACCATGTCTATGCTGACCTAACAAATGCCAAACCACATTAATGCCATTTACCTGCACTTGGTCTACACACCACTATGCCCTGGCATTAAGTACTTGCCCAGCTGCTGCTTAAATGTTGCTGGAGTAGATACCTCCACCAACATCCCACACCACCACCTTCCCTACCCCTGCCCCCTGCCAACCCCCCACCCCTCAGGTGGTGAATCCATATTTCTACCACCTTCTTTTGGGGGTGGGGAGGCAAGCTTTTCTGTAACCCACCCAAACCTATGCCCTCTGGTCTTGGTGTCTCTCCTGCCAACAACCATCTGCTGCCCAGACTCTCCAATAGTCAAGACTGCCATCAGATAACCAACTCAGCCTCTTCCACTCATAGGAAAATTCCATCCTATGCAATCACATCCTTGTCATAGGTTTTCCATCTCAGGCAACATCCTGGTGAAACTAGCCTGACCCATCCACTGTCATCCTGTCCTTCTGATTGGTATGCCACAGATGTACTGGGGTGGTGGTCACAACATTTCAGAATTGTAACAAGACTTGTCCCTTTCCTGAGCCCCAATTAAATGGGGCAAGCAACATGAAAACCATCTTGACCATCCTGTCGGCCTTTGCTGAACCTTCAAGGAACTATGGTCTTGGGCATTTGTTCCCTGTTTTTATTGTAAACACATTGAAGGGACTGCAATGATCATGGTGCTCAGACATGTATGTAACAACTCACATGTTGTACTTCAATCTCCACCTTCCCAGCCAGAGGTAGGGACACGATCACTGTACCACAACAGCCCTTGGGATTCAATATCCTGCTGGAAATTCCATCACATGGACACTGGTGCAAATTTAATTGTCATCCCCACAATGACCTGTTCTTGAACTTCCTGCTTCAGATCAAAGATGAATGGATAAAGTGAAAGGAATTCTCAAATAACTGACCTGTTCTTCATCTGGACTTCAGGAATGACAGTGCCTCAGTGGTTAGCATTGCTGCCTCAGTGCCAGGGACACTGGTTTGGTTCTGGTCTCTGACTGGAATTTACATATTATCTCAATAAAGGGATTGAGTTCTAGAGCTGTGAAGTTATGCTCCAGCTATACAAAACCCTGGTTCAGCCACATCTGGAGTATTGTGTCCAATTCTGATTGCTTCATTACAGGAAAGATGGGGAAACATTGGAAAAGGTGCAGAGGAGATCTACCAGGATGTTTCCTGGAATGGAGGGAAGGTCTTGAGGAAAGGTTGAGCTAGGGCTTTTCTCTTTAGAACAACAAAGGATGAGAGGTGACTTGGTGTACAAAACGATCAGGTATAGTGGACAGCCAGATCCTCCTAGGGTGGAGGTAACTATTACAAGGGGGCATAGTTTTAAAGTGAGTGGAGATAGATATAGGACAGATGTCAGAGGTAGGTTCTTTCCTCAGTGATCGGGGCGTGGAATGCATTGCTGGAGAGGGTAGTGGAGTCGGCCTCATTTGGGGCATTTAAGCAGCTAATAAATAGGCATATGGATGATAGTATAAGGTAGGTGTGGAGGTTAGATAGACCTTAGGTTTATGGTAAAAGTTCAGCACAACATTGTGGGCCAAAGGACCTGTTCTATGCTCTATATTTATCCCATGTCTGTATGGGTTTCCTCACTGTCCAAAGCTGTGCAAGTTGGAGGATTGGCCATCTGAAATGCAAGGTTATAAGGATAGGGTGGGGGTGGGGGTGGGGGTAGGAGTGGGTCTAGGTGGGATGCTCTTCAGAGTAGTTATATGGACTCAATGGCCTGCTTCCCATGCTGCAGGGATTCTGATTCTGAAGCTTAACTGTCCTTTCTTTCCATTCTCAGAAGCCAGAGAGGGATGAGTGGGGTAACAGTCTGCAGGCAATGCAGGTTGCCCTGGATCTGGAGAAGAATGTGAACCAGAGTTTCCTGGATCTACACCAACTCGCCACTGCCCAGACTGACCCTCATGTAAGCTTCACCACCTCCTCCTTCTCATCACTGCTACACCTTCAGGGCAACACTTCATTGGCTGGTCTTTGTGGATTGGAAAGTCACTGTAACACTTTGTCCAGATATGACATTGGGATCATCAGTGTGGATCTGAAGTGATCCCAATGTTACAACAGCTCAGCAATTGGGTGAAATAGGAATTTGGATTATAATCTCGTGGGAGTGCTGAACTGATTGGCCACTGATTCTCATTCAGGACCAATGCAGTGGAATGATCATTGTCCATCACAGTCCAACTCAGCTCCATTTAACAAACTGCAAGATGCAACTGAAACGCTATTGTCCTCACTGGCACAAATTCTGCACATGTTAGCTAGATTTTCTAGAGCTAGTGTGGGAATTCTGAAATTGTCTTAGATATTGTTAATGCACCCAGTTGTAATATTCCTCTGTTTGCAGCTGTGTGACTTCCTGGACACTCACTATTTGGATGAGGAGGTGAAGATCATCAAGCAACTTGGGGA